CACCTGCATATGTCAGGTAATAGTGCAGCAGCCAGCATTCATGAAGCGTTAACTCTAAGTGAGGCATGTGTTGACCCTTCACAAAACTCCTTAAACCACGCCCTCCCCGCCACAGTATAGGGAGTGCTTTATAATTTCCTAATGGTTATGAAGTATTTAAATATTAGGGACATCTGACTTCATAGCCCTTAATCACTATGCTATGTTGTATCATGAAAACATATTAAGATTTTGGACCAGATACAAATGGGTTCAATTCTAACCTAACAATTTTTGACCTTGACACGCTAAGCCATAGTTTCCCTGTGTGTAAATGTTGACTATTACAGAATGAGGATAAGATAAGACAGGAGAGAGTGAATAAAAATGATAGAACGAGTGTACATGTACAATAAATAGCACCTACTTTTACTATGTCTAGGAAAAGACTTCTGTAAGTAAAATGGCTACATTCTAAGTAAATTCCTTCTTGTCTTATCCTAATCTTTTAATTCTATCCCTTGTGTTAATAAACATGAAGAATCATTTTTCAAAAAGTTTTGAGATATTAATATATTCTGCAAGATTTAAAGTCATTTAAAGATTGCATTCATATTTTTCTATGGTACTATAGTAATGAATGTCAAAATAAGGAAGCCCCAGCCACAATAAAGGCACGTAGATGTTATGGAATGAGCTTTGGACTTGGAGCCAGAAGATCTGTAGGAAGTGCCAACTTTTAGGCTTACCAGCCATGCCAACATGGGCAAGTCATTTAGCAATCTCACGCATCCCTTTGTACTTGAACAAGATGAACAAACTGATTTATATGCTATTTTAAGTCTAAGAATTCTAAGAAAAAGGAGTTGTGATATTTATAAAATCAAAGCAGTGAAGTCCATTAGCATGTGACACAAATTTCCAGCTCCCTGTGGCTTAAGCCAGAAGTACCTGCTCTTATTACCCATAAACCACACCACAAATCAGGTGGCTTCCCTTTGACTCTGACCAGGTTATTACCCCCAGGTGGAGCATGGAGGGAGAGGGGAAGAGGAAAAAAAAGAAAAGTGGGGGTATTCTTTTCTTCTCTTTAAATCACTTCCATTCTCATCACAAATTGCACAGGTGCATTTGAGCTGCAGGGTTAGCCTAGATTTTTTGGTCCTCAAGCCTGGCTGCATACCAGCATCACCAAGAAGAAAAAAAAATATGAATAGTGAGTTCCAATACCCTAAAATCTCACAAGGAGGAATACAATCTACAAGTACTGGTTTGATTTTGTAAAAGATGGTACAAAGGATATTGGGTAATAAATTAACTCTAATGGTAAATATAAATATATATTCTTTTAGCCTACACTGCATTGAAAACAAAAGTTCATTTTTTTAAAGATTTATTTATTTATAAAAGCACTGGGTACAGTAAGAAGAGCAGGAGGCTGAGAGAATTCACCAGAGCTAGGGGGTAGAGCAGAGCAGGCATAATGACGAAGTACCCTGCTGAGGGGAGCAGCAGGCGGCAGGAGAGGTCTGTGCGCCATGTGGGACCCTTGCCTGGTGGCCGGGGATCGAACCAGCGCTGTAGAGGCTGCGGGCAGCTTCACAATCCAGTGCTCAACTGCTGCGCCACCAGGGAGGCCCCAAAAGTTCATTCTTGAGTACACACACATTTGGGATGATTACGTGGATCAACCATCCTGCTTTGGTTGTAGGCTTGGCTTTAGCTCTAAAGTTTCATGTCTAGGAAAACCTCAATCTCTAAAAGTAAGGACAGCACTCTAATACACAGAAATGTGCCCGCATGTACACATGCACACACACAAGCACACATGCACACACACACATACATTTTCAAGTAACCCTCACAGTGTGTTATAACAAAGTGCAGATTAATAGTACCCCTCTCATGAACCATTACCATGAACACTATGTTATTAGTCACATAATGCCATCAGGAACATATACGGTCACACTGACAGACCTCTGATACCAGGCAGGATTCATAAATACACAATGACATGGCTGCCCAATCCATACTATACCTAAGATTGATAACCAAAGTTTAAAAAAAAAGGAAAATATCATACTTTGAAACCCCTGTCCCCCAATTACTATTTGTCTGCTTTTATAAAAATTCAGGTAACTTTTGAGGATAACATCTTTAAAATTTGACATTTTTTTTGTAATCTGATGGCTCTGTAATTGCTGGCATCTTTCCTATAGTGTGATGCCATGTGAAATTTAAATAAAAAATAATACATAATAAAGTTAAACAATGGCCCTGGTTTATGTAAATTAAAGACACACGCAAAAGTCAGTAGCCTTCCTATACACAAACAATAAATCTGAAGAAAAGAAATCAAAAAAAACCCCTTTTATTATGGAAACAAAAAAAATCAAATAGTTGGGAATAAATCTAACAAAAGAAGGTAAAAGGACCTATACAAAGAAAACTATAAAACACTGTTAAAAGAAATAGAAGAAGACACAGAAATGAAAGACATCCCCTGCTCATGGATTGGAAGAATAAACATTATTAAAATGGCCATCCTACCAAAGCATATACAGATTCAATGCTATTCCAATCAAATCTCAATGGCATTCTTCAAAGAATAGAACAATTATTGATGAAAATTCATATGGAATCACCAAAAACCCGAATAGGCCAAAGCTCTACTGAAAAAAAAAGAAGGAAATGGAGGCATCACACTCCCAGACTTCAAACTATACTACAAAGCCATAATCATCAAAACGGCATGGTATTGGAACAAGAACAGACATACAGACCATGGAATCGAATAGAAAATCCAGAAATAAACCCACAGATTTATGGTCAACTATCTTTGACAAAGGAGCAAAGACTATGCATTGGAGCAAAGAAAGTTTGTCAATAAAATGGTGCTGGGAAAACTGGGTCGCTACATGCCAAAAGAATGAAGCTTGACCACTACCCTCACACCATACCAACAAAAATCAACTCAAAAATGGATTAAAGACTAGACATAAGACCTGAAACCATAAATACATAGAAGGAAATATGGCGACACTACGGGATTTGCACATCAAAGACATCTTTACAGACACATCACCCAAAGCAGTGATAGTGAAGAGAAAGATAAACAGCTGGGACTACATCAAATTAAAGAGCTTCTGCACAGCAAAAGAGACATAAAAAAACACAAAGAAAACCCACCAACTGGGAGAACATTTTGCACCCAACACTATGATAAGGACTGATCACAAAAATCTGCAAAGAGCTGATGGAGACTCAGCAACAACAAAGAAAATATCCAGTCAAAAAATGGGCAGAAGAGCTAAAAAGAAACTTCTCTGAAGAGGAAATGCAAATGGCCAACAGACATAGTGAAAAATATGTTCAACATCATTGCAATCAGGGAAATGCAAATCAAAACTACCATGAGATAACATCTCACACCAGTGAGAATGGCACATATAAAAAAACTAGCAACAACAAAGTTGGCGAGGATTGGGAGAAAAAGGAACTCTTCTGCACTGTTGGTGGGAGTGCAAACTGTCCAACCACTATGGAGAGCTGTGTGGAGATTTCTGGACCTACTAAACATAGAGCTTTCCATATGAGCCAGCAATTCCACTCCTAGGTATTTACCCAAAGGACACAGAAACATCAATTCCAAAGAGCACCTGCACTCCTATGTTTATAGCAGCACACTGTTTACAATAGCATAAGCTTTGAGAAACAACCCAAAATGCCCAAAAGTAGATGACTGGATCAAGAAGATGTGGTACATATATACCATGGAATATTACTCAGCATTCAAAAAAGATAAACACATGCAATTTGCAGCAACATGGATGGGCGCTGGAAGGGATCATGCTCAGCGAAATAAGCCAAAAAGAAAAAGAAAAATACCGGATGGTCTCACTCATAGCAGGAATCTAGAAAACTTAAATAAGGGACCGGAAAATGAATATAAGAAAGTGAAAATCAAAATCAACAAAAAACTATGAACAGAGACACTTTTTGGGGGGTGGGGGGGGCGGAGGGGAAGGATTGGGGTCAGAATGGGGCATTTGCAATTGTATGGGGGAATATAAAAATAAAATTTAAGATTAAAAAAAAAATAAATAAATAAAAAAAAAAAATAAAGGAAATATATGATACAAAACAAATTAATTTGGAATGGCATGTGTCACCGGAATATACTTCCTTGTGTTTTTCAAATTGAATTCATCATAGAAATCTTTTCTAGAATGACATTATACATTGTCATCAGATGCATGATGGAGACATTAGACTTTAAGATCAAGTCTTGATCATACAACTAACGAAGAACAGTATCAATCTGTGTAACACTTGCTTGGTAGTTCATATGTCCCTTAACTGTGACATCAACAGTCATTGACGGAGAGCCAGCTTGAGCTACAGCTGGCAGTACTGTGGGAGCACTGGGGAAATACTCCCCTGACACCAGTTCTACACACTATAGAACTAGTGTCATGGAGATCTACTTGTGAGTTAGAAGAAAAGGCCATCTAAATCCTTTCCCTTGGGGAAATGAGAATCATAGAACGACTGCCACCAACCTGGTGTATTCTTTGCTCTACATAGAGCTTAGTAAAATAATGAAAACCCTGTAGACTGCGGTTACCATCCTTGAAATGAACAGCAGGCATGCTGGTGATATACATTCTTCTATTACACTTTTTGACAGCCAATCACATACATACTATCTAAATCCATTTAGAATAAAATCTAAATAAAGGAGCTATGTAATAATTTAGATGGTCTAAAATACTTAGCATAATTTCAACGTCCTAGTCTTTCTATTACTGTCTTTGGCAAGCAGAATCAAGGAGGCTTCAAATGTAGTATGCTTGGCAGAAATTTACAAAGGCCTACTTTAGGGTCTTCTAAGAGAAAGAAAAAGTCAACTAAATATTTAACAAAAATTCTCTTGTTACAATATATTCCTTTAGGATGACTCTGAGCAGTCTTACCACAACATTTTTCAGCAAACTTGAAAATAAATTAAAACTTACTGATTGTTCATTTAAATCCTGGGAGTCTTCCATGTGGTTTTCCACGTCTCCTGCCACTCCCAAGTAGAAGCAGCTCCCTTCAATTGGAAATGAACTATCTAGAACAAGAGAGTGGAAATAAAAAGGAAAAAAGAAAAAGTTATTTTAATGCATTTCCAGAATGTTCAAACATACTATGGTTCACATGGGAGTTGGTAATCTTTAGAAGATTTATTTTTACAGAACAAAATCATTAATATTGTTCCCATATTTGATATAAATACTGATGTTAAATTCACATCATGGGAAACTGGAATATGTAAACATATTCCATGTAGGACTCCTACAGATAAAGACATCTGTGGGGAACACTGAGACACAGTCTGCAGCAAACAGAATATTATTTTGTTGAAAGAAGACTGCCATTAAGCAGCTCACAGATTAAACACTGAGTCTGCATGAACTATTCACTTTCTAAAGCACATTAAGTAATTTGAGGAAGTACAAGGTTTATTTTAATGTGACACTTTCTATTACAGGAAAATTTGACTGAATTATCAGATGATGATTTTTTCAGTTTTTTTTTAAAAAGATTTATTTATTTATGCATACAAGAACTGGGATACAGGACACAGGAGTGTGTGGGGGCGGGGTGGGGGAATGAGAGGATTCACCAGAGACAGAGTGGGGAAACAGAATAGGCTGACTGACTGCAATACACTCCTGAGGGGAGCAGCAGGCAAGGTAGGAGAGATCTGCGCCATGTGGATCACCTCTCTGGCCAGGGATCAGGTGCTGCAGTGACTGCAGAGAGCTTCATAGTGCTTCAACTTAACCCCCTGCACCACCAGGGAGGTAGCATTTTTCAGTTTTTAAGAATACAAGATAGAAGACCAATTTTAAAAAGAGAATGAAAATAAGACTAATATGATAAAGAAGATATTCCAAATAAATAAGTGAAGGACAACTGTCAACAAACTATGTGAGACAATCAATTGACTATTTAGAAAGTTTATCTTTATACTACACAATTTTTACAAGAAAATTAAAGTTTTAAAAAGCTCTAAGAAATACCAGCAATTTTTTAATTCAAACATAAGGAAGTATGTATAATAGAAGCAATAGAACACCAAAAAAGCAAAACAGTTTGCTGAATCTCCTCACAGACACCAAAAAAAAAAAAAATGTTTTCTGTTTTATAGTCTTTTCTACAATAAACCTGTTATTTTTATTATCAGAATAGAAGACATTTTTAAAAATTACAAAGGAGACTTAAAATGTGAAATGTAAGATGTTTTATGCATATGTAAACATAGGAAACAGGCCAAGATTTTTTTTAATCTTAAAGGCAGGTCATAAACTAGTAATGGTAATGTATATGTATGTGATGTGACAGTCTCGGTGAGATACTGATGAAAAATATTCCCACACTAGAATGTGTCATCTGGAAAAGAAGCACCATTTTAAAGTACATATGAAGTGGAGAGCAGGAAGAGTGAATTCTTAAGCACACTAAAATGTGCTGACTGAATCCAGGAAGGTAAGTATGCAGAGGTTCTAGATTTCAAAATGCCACTTTTTGTTGGGGAGTGCTCCCAAGAAATGGTGACCATAAACGGCCCAAATTTTTGCCTTTCAGTTCACACCTCCATCTTTCTTATCTACTTTCTTCTCCCATCTCCTTACCTTCTTTTTTTTTTTTAAGATTTTTTTTTTTTAAGAGGCATGTATTTATTTATTTATTTGTTTGTTTGTTTGTTTGTTTGTACATGCACTGGGTATAGTCAGAAACGCAGGAGGGTGAGAGAATTCACCAGAGCCAGAGCGGGGAACAGAGCAGGCAGAAGGACCAAAGTACACTGCTGCGGGGAGCAGCGGGCGGGCGGCAGGAGAGGTCTGCGCGCCATGTGGGACCCTCCTCTGGTGGCCGGGTTGCAGCCGGGGATCGAACCGGCACTCGCAACCCAGTGCTCAACCGCTGCGCCACCAGGGAGGCCCTCCCATCTCCTTACCTTCTTACAGACTGGTTCCTCCTGGTCTTTCACCCAGACGCTGATTTTTGCTGCTCCCTTACATGTTCCTGCTGTCCTAGCTGACTTCCAGCTCCTAGGCCTTGGGGAAGGCTCCCTTCCCCAATGCCCTGGGGCAACTTTGGCTCTGGGTTGCCTCCGATACTGTGCAAGGATAAATGCAGCCACTTACTACTGAGGTCCACCTGCCAAGACTCTGCAGTCGCCTCAGATCTCCCACCACCCATTCCATCACTTCCTTTACAGCCAATTTCTCCTCAGTACCTGACTAACACACTAGCTCTTTTTTTGAAAGAGACAGTCCGATTTCCTTTTCATTCTAACAGATAAATGATAAAAACACTGTCTGAGATGACAAAGACAGGGGACCATAGAATCAGCCACATGAAAATAAAACTAAACTTTTCATTTCTAAATAGAATAAAGCACCTCCAAAGGTAAAAGGATGCAACTAATTACTGAGTATTATATATGTAATTATGTTCACTGCAAACAGAAATTGGTAAAATTTAAGGATGTAATAAATGACTAAGAAAGTATATAAAAATAAATCATGTAAGAAAATGTAAATAATAACACAGGAAAAAGTGTTCACTCACAGTTGCCAGAATATGGAAATTTAAGCAAGTATTTATTTTGAATTATTGCATACATATTCAATAATCAAACCATTTTAAATATTGACAATGCCCAATGAATAGAAAGATAGAGTAAAAATGATGTCCTTACTCCATTGCTAGGAGTAATGTCAAGTTTTCTAATACTTTAAGAAAGTAATCTGCTACTGCATTTTAAAAGTTTTTAAAATTTAACTCCTTTACCCAATAGTAACTTTCATAAGGAATAAACTTCCCTCAAGAGTCACAAGGTGGGGCCTCCCTGGTGGTGCAGCGGATGAGCGCTGGGTTGCGAAGCTGCCTGCATCCTCTGCAGCGCCGGTTCGATCCCCGGCTGCTCCCCGGCCACGGAGGAGGGTCCCACATGGCGCGCAGACCTCTCCTGCCGCCCGCTGCTCCCCTCAGCAGTGTACTTCGGTCCTTCTGCCTGCTCTGCTCCCTGCTCTGGCTCTGGTGAATTCTCTCACCCTCCCGCGCTTCTGACTGTACCCAGTGCATGTATAAATAATAAATAAATAAAAATAAAATAAATCTTTAAAAAAAAAAAAAAAAAAGAGTCACAAGGTATTCACTACAGTGTTATTCATGATAATGGAAGACAGAAAGAGCCTCAACTTTGTTGAGAACTGATTAGGCAAATTATGGTCAATCACTTTAATATAATATATTTTAATGATCAAAAGAGTCATAGTGAAAAATGACATGCAAGACTGAAAATCACTGATTACAATTAAGTAAAATAATAATTAGAACACAGAATTCTAGCCATACTAACACTAATATACAACTAAGTAGCACTAAGTATTTATTGGGATAGTGATAAGAAGGAAACATTTAAAAATGAAAATAATTTGATAAGGACTTATATACTTTGTCTCACAAGCTTTGATTATGGTCTGTGTAAGAAATAACATTTTATTTTTTCTACCAAGTACAGGGGTACAGTGTAAGTAAAACCAAAAGTTTCTAAAGGTTTTTTTGCAAGAATTAAAGCTATAGCAGAGATTAATTTTTTTATATTAGATTATTTTTTATTGTGCTAACACTGGTTCACAACACTTTATGATCTAGGTTTATCAGTTCATACCTTTTCCAATGGGTATGACATCACACCTACCACAAAAGCACCAGTAATTCCCCTCTTCTGGTAATTTCAATTCTGCAGTCATATTTCTAAGATTTGTTTTGCTTTAGTTTTGTCTGTTCCATTGTTCTATTTATATTTCACATATGAGTGAAATCATCCCGTATTTGTTTCTCCTCCTGACTTTTATCAATTAGCATAATCTCCTCCAGTTCCATCCATATTGCTGAAAATGGCAAAATTTCATGAAAAAATGAATTTTCTAAGTAGAAAGTTTCTTCAAGAGACCTGTGGTTTCTTCCACATGGATTAAATTTCAGAACCAGAGTAATCTCTTTGTCACATTTGCTTATCTTTCTTACAGCACCTACAGCAATGCCTGGAAAGTATTAAGTAATTAATAAATAGCAACTGAATTCATGACACAACTAATGGTGGATGAAATTATTCATAATGTATCTGAAAATGGGAATAAAAAATGTAAATAGCCATATAGAGTTTTTTTAAATTTTTTTCAGTAGATATATCTTTTAAGTTCAACTTGATAAATTTCATTCATGACCACAACTATAAAAAATTAAGACAACTAGTTTAGAATATTTACAGAAAGATTTCTGTCTGGAATTTCAATCATAATTTTTGAATAATTTGATTTTGGAAAATTCTGTGTCAAAATGTAGTTATTTTAAGAAAAATTCTGTGTTGTTCCACAATTTGGGGGTATAGAATTGACTTTATTTTACTTTTCACTTCATGTGAGGAGAACAAGAATAGAAACTGGGGGAAATATTATTTGCTAAATTATTGTAACTTTTAGAAAATTGACTAATGAGAATTAGTCCCCCAGGTAGTTCCCTACTTGCCTGACCTAATTATAAAATATGCTTAAAATGAAACTACCAATTAATGCCAATTTAACCTATTATTTATTTATAACATAGCTTTAGTTTCTTAGGGCTGCTGTAAAAATACCACTGCAGATTGGGTGGCTTAGTGCAACAGAAATTTATCCTCTCACAGTTCTGACGGCAAAAGTCCTACAGTAAGGTGCTGGCAGGTCCATGATCCCTCCAGAGACTCTAGAAAAAATGTGTCTTTATCTCTTCCTAGTTTCCGTTGTGAGCCGACAACCCCTGGCATCCTTTGGCTTGTAGATGCATGACTCCAACCTCTACTTCCTTCATCACACACTACTGTGGTGTATCTCCTCACAAGGACTTTCTTTGTGTGTGAGTTCCTGGGTCTAAATTTCCCTGCTCTCATGGTACATCAGTTGTTGGCACAGGGCTCACCCTAAGTCAGTAAGACCTTAGCCTAACTTAATTGCATCCGCAAAGCCCTCTTTCCAAATAAGATCATATTCGCAGGTAAGGTTAGTTAGACTTTGT